AGCACTGAAGATAAGGAAAAGGCTGAAGTTCTCAATGCCTTCTTTACATCTGTCTTTAAAAGTCAGGTCAGTTATCCTTAGGGTGCTCTACTCCCTGACCTGGAAGTCACGGACGGAGAGAAGAGTAAACCCCCCACGATTCAGATGGAAACAGAGACCTGCTACTCCACCTGGACCGTCACAAGTCTACAGGGCTGGAGCGGATCCACTCAAGAATGCTGAGGGTGCTGGCAGAGGTGACAGCCAAGCCACTTTCCATCATCTGTCAGCATTCCTCGTCAACCAAAGAGGTCCCACAGGACTGGAGACCTGCCAGTGTGACTCCCATCTACAAGAAGGGTCATAAGGACCCAGATCTGTCAGCCTGCACTCAGTACCAGGGAAGCTTATCGAAGAAATCATCTTGAGCGAGATCATGCAGTGTATGTAGGACAACTGGGGTCAGGCCCAGGCAGCAAGGGTTCATGAAAGGTGGGTCCTGCTTGACCAACATGATCTCCTTCTATGATCTAGTGACCCGCCTGGTGGAAGGGAAGGCTGCTGATGGAATCTGCCTGGACTTCAGCAAGGCCTTTGACACGGCCCTGCACAATATTCTCCTGCAGAAGCTGTACCTGTCCGTGGCCTGGACAAGTGCACTCTTTGCTGGGTAAAGAACTGGCAGGAAGGCCAGGTCCAGAGAGTGGTGGTGAATGGAGTTATACCCATCTGTCATGGAGTAAGTACTGGGGCCTGTCCTGTTTGATACCTTTATTGATGAGAGCACTGAGTGCATCCTCAGTAAGTAAGATGACACCAAACTGGGGAAGTTTGATCTGCCTGGGCAGGAAGGCCCTGCAGAACAACCTGGACAGGCTGAGGACAATGGGATGAAGTTCAACAAGACTAAGACATTGCTATATTTACATTAACAACTGATTTAACAACCCATTTTATATAACTTCCAGCAGGAGTTGAATTCCAGCACCATCTTTCCTACAGCAGATTTTTGCAAGTGATACAGAATCACAGAATCACAGAATTGCAGGGGTTGGAAGGGACCTCCAGAGATCACCGAGTCCAAGCCCTGCCAAAGCTGTTCCCTAATTCCCTACAGCAGGGCGCACAAGGAGGCGTCCAGGCGGGTCTTGAACACCTCCAGAGAAGGAGACTCCACGACCCCCTGGGCAGCCCGTTCCAGTGCACTGCATGAATTTTCAGGAATATTCAAGACAACACATTAAAATATTGATTTAAATTCCTACTGCTGGTAATGGCCACAGTGAAGGCTGTAAAAAAGCATAGAGATTTCCTCTATGAAAATACTCTGCTTCAGCTATGTTAGTAAAATATTAGTCGAATTCCAGTTTCACTCTTTCATTACAGAAATTAGTTACTACTGCATCAACACACTAGGATTTGCAACCACGTGGTACACGTGATAACTTTCAAGGCTTTACCCATCAGCCTGGCAGAACGGACAACTTGGATATGGCCATGTAAAAGAGGCCTACCAAAATTATATACCCACACATATGTATCTACTTTCTCTGATTAATTGTGGAAACTGTAGAGCAATGTGTTTCCAACTTTCCCACTTCTGTCATGCTTTTTTCTCTCTTAAATGTCAGTTCCTGTCTAGCCCATTGCAAAGAATTCTAAACAGATGCTCTGTTTTTCACTGAAGAGCTCCAGTGACTCACTGCTGCTATCAGCCAAATCAGGGAGCTCTGAAAGCAACTATCTCCCAGTTCCCTCTCGCTCAGTCACTGGCACAGAACTGCAAAAGAAGAGAAAGCCTGTTGCATGATTGGCTGCTCGTCTGATCTAGGGTTCAGGCAAAGGGCCTGTGAAGGGAAACAGTCTTGCTAACATAAATAGTTTTATTTTGGGCCCTGTAAGGAAGCCTTAGTTCTTTTTCCTGGCAGATAATTTCTCCATCAGATAGAAGGATGCTCATGAAGTCAGCCCGTCTAGCGCACCGATGTGCAGCCACTCAGGACAGTAATAGGCCACAAGTGATAGATAAGCAGGAAATAAAAAGATCACCAATATAATTAAAAGCTGTTTGTTTGGGAAAAAAAATTAAATCTTGAAAGTAATTCCTACAGCATTTATTTACCTGTATATTGCCATAAAGGAACTGACTGCTGCTGCCTCAGCTAAAGAAGGCACACGATGGGGCAAAGTTATGCCCAGGGGAGTACAGCTCATACACAGTCCTAAAGACTTTTCCCAGCACAAGCAGATCTGACTTTCAGTAAGGAAATGGGAAGCATAAGTTGGAGATAACAGTAAAAACTCATAGACCTGCTGTCAGGAAGGCATCAGTCACAATTCAGCAGCTGAGCACTGTGCTGCAAGGCATTGCTGCCACCAGGGTTACTCTGTGCAGCTGGTGATCCTCACCTAGCTTCCTCTTCCGAGAGCACACTGCAAGGTAAAGTGGACGATCAGCAATTAAAACTGACCCTCAGAGGTGCCTGTAAGTGGTTGCTGATTAGCTTCAAAGCTTGTTCCTGCTCACTGAGTAATAAATTGAACCCTATCATTAAAATGCACGCGAATTAAGCTATTTCAAATCCAGCCAGCGCATCTGACAGGTCTTATGGTTTGCATCACACCTTTTTTTCTACACTATTTAATGTGGGGTTTTTTATTCCCTGTGAAAACGTGAACTGGGAAAATGTTCTAAAAGGAACTCAAGAAGAAAAGTGGCAACAGAATTTGGTGATGCTCCAGGCAGACTCATCAGTAAGATGGGTCCCTTGCTTTGCACCTCAGTGCCCTCCTTCCTCTGAGAATTTTAAACCAGAAGGAAAAGAAACAGGCTTGCAACTTTTGCCATAGGAATTACGACCAGCCTCCTTTTCTCTCAGCTTCCGTCTTTATATGAGAAAAGTGGTATCTATCAGCCTTGAAAAGTGGATGGCAACCTGTAAAGAGCAAAACAGTTGCATGAATACCTAAAGACCTCAAACAGAGAAGAGACAAATTCTCTACAAGCATATTACAGCTGGTGCATGCTGCTCTCAAAACCGTGGCATTACAGAACCAAGACACTGAACTCAAGACGACTGCAGTACATGTATTACTCTGGAAATGAGACAAAACTATTTTATTTCCCAGATACGCCAGAATCTTATGTGCTATTATTGCTAACCATAAAGGCAAAACTCATACAGGACCCAGAAAACAGCAAACAACATAGTTAGAATTCAAAAGCAATCAAGGAAACTTCACAGAAAAGGAAGAGCACCATTAATTGGAGTTCTGGGGACAAAAGTGGCATTCTGGAAGGGCCAACCAACGTAAAATTCAGAGTGGGTTTTGACTGCACAAGGAAAGAACTTTTCCCCTTTCAGGTGAGCAAAGCACATGAACATAAAGCAAAGTGGACTCCTTCAAAGACAAACAACACACCTTCAACATTCTGTCCCATATTCCAGGATGTAGATGACAAGCCTGGCTTCAAAACAACCAGGATTTTTAGAAAGCATGCATAATCTGCTATACAGCATGTCGTCCATCACTTAGGATCAAAACAAGATTCAAGCTTGTTAATTTATGCTTGACAGTTAAGTTTCACAAGTTTTCTACCTCAGCCATCACTCAGTATTTCATCAAACAGAAATCAAGAAGCAACTTTCAAACTGGTGCACTGAGCAAATCATACTGGATGACCTGTGTGCTAACATCCCCTCTCCAACCCTGCGATGGTTAAAACTGCCCTCTTTTCCAATTGCTGTACATTTTAACAAGGAATCCAGAAGCCTGCAGGCTCACGTTGAGTGCTGATGAGCAGTCACTGCACAGCTCACTGATTTCTAGCATTGCTAGCATTTTTCTAAAAGAAGAAACACCTGATAGAATGCACACTCAGGCTGTGCTCTGAAAAAAACCAAGGTGCAGAGCCAGGCTGGGACCATTTCAGAGCACTGCAGTGTATCTGTGGGAAGTTTCCAAGTGCAGCTAATTGAGAAAACAGAGCACGCAGACTCCGGTGCTTCCTAAGGAAAGGCTTCCTCCCCCTTGTCCTTGCCCATGCACTTCAGGAGACAGTGTCTACAAACCCTTCTGGCTGCTTATGGGCCTTTATTGTCATCTTCCTTTGTGAAGGGCTCCCTTTGTCAATGCAATTTCTTGTGATACGGTGGTGGTTAAGGTATGAGATCTAAGAGAAAGCCTTTTCCTGTGTCAGAAATATATTTGCCTCTGTTTCGATCTAAATTGTCTCAGAAAGCTGAAAAGCACTTTTATTTGGGAGTAGGGATAGAAAAACAAATACAGTGAACAGGGAGCAGAAAACTACCTGTGCTTACTGCTGCGTTCTTCAAGGAAAGGGCATTCTTATTAACACTAAAAAGTGGGAGTCGAGGAACATGGATTCAGCCTGTTCTAACATGCACATCCTGCATGACTAGAAAAGTCACCTTACCTTGTCTGCAATATGACAACCTTTTATCAGTGGTGCTCACAAAAAAAAAAAAGGAAAATCTTTTCTTTCTCCCCTGTTTTTGCAAGTGACGTTGTGACATCTGTGGATGGAAATACTAGATAAGTGCACTGTTGTTATTCCTGTATTAACTGCCTTTTAAGGAATTTAATACTGTGCTTACTGTTAGAAAAGGAACAGAAGCTTCTGGCAGCTTCTGCAGGCACATTAAAAAAGTAGGACCCAGTGATTTCAACCTCTTTCTTTCTCTTTTGTTTGCTTTCATGCATACGCACGCAGAATATATATTTTATCGTTTCTGCAACACAAAGGGATAAAACATGAAATACACAAAGTAGGAGTAAGAAATTTAGACCGGTGTCAGCAGATTTAAGCTGAATGTTAAGACTGCTTTGCAGGCACCTCGCTTTGCATATTCCATCGTGTTTAAGAGCGGGTTAAAGAACACACGCAGCACAGTGGAACAGCGAGGGAAAGGCTTTGCAGATTCAGAAATATCCAGCTTGTAGCATCTGGCCACTGCAGAAATTCAGGAGTAACCGAACAATTCTCACGCTCTTTGCAGGTTTTGTTCTGGTCATTGGATTGGTGACCTTCTACCGCATCGGGCCGTACACCAACCTCTCGTGGTCCTGCTACCTGAACATTGGAGCCTGTCTTTTGGCCACACTGGCAGCTGCCATCCTCATATGGAACATCCTCCATAGGCGCGAGGACTGCATGGCGCCGCGGGTCATCGTCATCAGCCGCACCCTGACCGCTCGGTTCCGCCGGGGCCTGGAGAACGACTACGTGGAGTCGCCGTGCTGAAAGCGTGGACTTGCAAGGGGAAAGGTCTCCAAGGAGATCTGCGTTGGTGTTTTATATAAATAGATGCTATAATTTAAAACTAAGGGTTGAAGGACATCACGAAGCTCACTCTTGTGGGCAGAGGCCCTCAATTATTATTTGGATGGGCTCCATCTATATACATATGTATAAAACATATAATTTTATATATATTATATTGCCCTCTTCCTCTACTGTACAGCGCAGAATATTGGGCTGTCAGAATCCTGACAGCATCACAGCTGTGTGTCAGCCAGAGCAGAGAGATCCGATGAGACCACAGAGGAGAGACGACCTAACGTTTACTGCCTGGATAAAGTTGTCTTGCTCCCTTAATAACATGGAAAGCTTTGGGAGACCGGTGATGACCAGCTTTCCTTTGCAATTAACAGGCAGTCTGAGAAAGCAGAAAACTCACTGTAGAGTAAGTGATGATTTTTAACAGCTGTTAAGATTTCATGGCTTTTTAGCCTTCCATCCGCATCCCATTCATCCATTTCAAGGAACTTCTCATTAACTGCAACACCTACTCTTTTCAAGCCACATCATAAAGCAAGAACTACAACTCTAATAGCTCTAATTGGTAAAGGAATGCAGAAGAATTCACTGCATTTTCTCCAGACACTACTTTCTTCACCCTAAGAGAGAGCTTCGGGTTTATCCTATGTGTAAATAGATGCCATTGAAAATGAAAAGGGCATGCCACTAGAACAGGCCTTACACGGTGCTGACAGTCTCCTTCAGTGTTACGCTGTGGGCAGATCTACAGAAGGCGGTGACCTGGATTCTCTCATAATCATAGATACTACTGATTTGCTTCACAGGAAATTATTAGTAATAATCAATATTACAGCCCACATAAGTTTCTTCCTGGCTTGCTTTAACTTTTGCCAGGTAACTTCCAGATTAGAGTGCTATGTTAGGACGTCCAGCTCTGCCCAGCAATGCTCAGAGGCACCTTATAGAATACTGGAGACAGTACCTGCTACTGCAGCTCATAACTGGAGAATAAGACAAACATAGACTTTGCCATGAGATAAAGCATCTGTCCGTTAACTTCATATGGTAATGAAAGGAAAATTAGTACCTCCAGAACCTGGCACGATGCCTGTTGGCCTCACAAGGGCTCACAAGGCATGCATGCAGCCTTCAGGAAGAAAAAACAACGGGTCAAAAACTGTTATGCCAAAATACTTCAGACACAGCCGCAATGACAGACGTTTAGGAGTTGTCAGCAGAGGCTCCTCTGAGCACTTCCTGACAGATCTGAAGGGCTGAGCTGTGAATGTGAGCTGTGAACGTCACAGACTGCACGACGCTGTCGTGTTGCTCCCAGCCCAAACACTGCTCCTCTTTGCTATTATTTTCACCATAGTTTGCCACACTTAGAACGTGATCATCAAGCTGGCTCTTGAATTCTGTTCTCAAACTCAGTTCCGATGCAATAAGAAACTCACCCCCAACTGCTAATCTGCATCATGTTCATAGTCAGCAACCCTGTGCAGAGACTGATGCTCCAGAGCAATTTATTGTTCTAGACTATCAGCACAGAATACCTTCATGCTGACAAAGAGTTTCTTCTAACAGTAGGTTTGTAAAAACCAAACTAAAATTTGTATTCACTCGCCTGCATTACTTCCTGGAAAAGCTCTACCCTTCCTAGAAGCAACATGCTATGATTAATTGCAGGGATTTTTAAAAATTAAACTATTTGAATATTTAAAAGACATTATATTATTTCTTCTAATATTGCAATATCCGTATTATAATAATGTACATTTAAATTTAAAAATCAGCTATGTGGTCAGTAAATTTGTAATACTTGGTATGACTGTGAGTATTTTAGATGTATAAATAAAATTATGAATGTTCACTCTCCTCTGGTGATAAGGCAGAATTTGTGCCAGGCACAGGGGAAGGTTACTCATCTGCCCCCAGTCAGTGATCAAAATCTACAGTTCACAGTGCCTCGTGGACAAAGAATAAGCAGAGTTTACATTAAAAGTCAGTAAAATAAAGATTTCATCTTCCTGAGAATGAAAGGGAAAATGAAATAAAAGCAGTAAGTGAAATTAAGAGGATCAGAATGTCCCGTCAACTTTCATTGAAAATATACTCCACTCGTAAGGAAATGCACACAGATACACGCTGTACCTTTTTATCAGCTTGATGGACTTGAACGCCTCGTCCATGTCCCCAGCCGTCAGATAGAAGCTGAAGTTCAGCATGGCATCCCGGGTAGCCTTATCACAGTCTCCTAATCCAACGAAATCTCTCATGGGTCGTCTGGAAGCCATCTGCAAGACCTTTGAGCCTGACTCCGCTTGTCCTTTCCCGGTTTCCCCTGGCTAAAATGAGCACATTGTCATTTAGGTATCAAGGAGGATGAAGTTTACTCCTTTCAGTGTCCAAATGTTAAATTTCCACTGCAGTGCCAAGATCTCTATTCCTACAAAACCACGACCAGTCGTGACAACAGCCACAATATTTCTGATCTTCCTAGAAAATACCCCAGGGCATGAAATGTCACAGACGAGCTTAGCGTGCCGTGAGTCAGAATGAACAACCAACAATTCAGGATAGGCAGCTGAGGGGCTTCCAGGATGCCACCCAGAAGAGGCAGCCATGGTTCTCACAGCTGCTATCGTAGTCTTAGCTGTTAGTTCAAGTCTGCAGATTTCTGAAAGTTTCAGACAAACTTCTCCGGGGTTTGTTCCTTCTGAAAAATCAATCTGCTATTCTGGAAGTTAACAATAGAGACCAAGTTCATTTATTCTTGCCTTCATGTGAAGGTTATAAATATTAAATCTCAGATTCAAGATGTTCTCCATACAATACGTAGTTCTCGAGCCTCTAAACCTTCAGTAATAACCTCACTGGTCACTGAAAACCACCCCAGAGGGGCTTTGTAAGACAATGAGAATCAAGTCAATCACCAATATGATATTATCTGTCTAGAGTGTAAGGCAGCCATTTTCACAACCCAATAGCAGAAAATCATCCCAGTCATGACACTGAATTTCACGTATACCCCATAGCAGCCTTATAGCAGAGGAAAGCATTAAGAGTTGCAGAAGCCATTGCAATGTACTATTTTAAATGCACTATTTTAAAAATTATTAGGTGCACTAACAATTCAGGATAGACAGCTCAGGGGTTTTTAGGATGCCACCCAGAAGAGGCAGCAGATTCTAACAGCTGCTAAAAGATAAACCGAAAGCACATTTTGGTTTGACTACAGTTTGGGGAATTTCTGGAACCAGGAAAGACACTACAATAACAAGAAACGATGGAGTGAAACTCAGTCAGGCCAGACTTCTTCACAAAAGCACACGTGGCTGCGGTGGGCCCTGCCACCCCCCGCCCTGCCCTGGTCTGAGCCCCCCAGCTCAGCTCCCCAGGGTCCATCTGTGGCCATTGGCGCCTCCAGGGATGGGCACCCGCAGCTCTGGGCAGCACTTTGAGTGAAGGATTTCCTCACCGCCCTTTGAGTGAAGGATTTCCTCCTAATATCTAACCTAAAGCCTCTCTCTCAGTTTAAAACTGCTCCCCTTGTCCTACCGTTGTCAGACTATCACCATCAGCTGTTGCATCAACTGCATTTGTTGTATTTAAAGCACACTACCCATGTAGTAAAACACGGTTCCAAAATGAACTACTACATACCAATTTCGTCACAAAGCTGCATGTAACCCTACTGAAGGAAGGAAATGCAAACAAGAGAAAAACAGACAATGAAGCAGAGCTGGATATTACAGTTAACAGATACTTACAGATTTATAGACAAAGTCCCTCCAAAAAATTAACTAATGGCAGCAATAATCCACACAGATGGGCAGAGAGAAAAACAAGAGAAGCAGTATCAAAGTAAAATAGCACAAGTCATGATCAGGGAAGTGTTATGTTAACAGAGTGGAAAATGCAGCAAATCTTGGATGTTTCAAACTGATGGGAAAGTAAGAGAGCAGCTCCAACAGCTAAATATATTTAAAGTGAAAAAAATATCTAGATAAAAGTCTCCTTGTTTAAATTAACCCAGTATATGAAGTTCGGTTCACATAATCGCACTGGTCTGTTATTCAGAAGAAAATCATGGGATTAGAAGTCACGTTAAGTTCCTAAAATGCCTTGGCAGAAGAAACAAAATAGGTTCCTCTATAAGAAGGCTGCAGGAGATTTCATTATAATCACAGATCTTAACTAAGATACTCATGTCAGAGCTTAACCAGAAAACCAATCTGTAGAGAACAGGCTTAACTTTCTCCACACATGGCATTAAGGTACAGACAATTTTGTCTTCATGGTCGAGTTTCCAAGATGTTACAGCATGCAATTCTAGTGTTTGCAGCAAGGATGCAGTGTCAGTGCAGAATGAGCATTCTCACTCTTTGCTGTGCTGTGGGAAGTAAGCTCCACGCCAACAGGAAGCGGGCTGCTGCTGCTGAAGCTAGCAGGAACTGTCTGCTGTTATGGGATGTGCAAGCCTGACACACACCTCAAATGCAAAAGAATGGTGCCTACATAACAGTGAGGTTTTGCTGCTTTTGAGCACCTCCTTAGTTGCAATGCCTGGTGACTACAGTGTCTGTACATCTCATCCAGTCTACAACACCCAGGAAGAATATTAACTTCATGTCACTGCTACAGCTGCCACTGGATTTGCCCTACTTATTGCAGGCTTTTGGTTACGTTTGAGCCCTACAGAATGAAAATTTGGAACCTATGGGAGGCAAAGGAATTGTGAAAGATGCCCTCACCTTTTTTGCAAAGTAAAAATGTGGTACATCAATGCCCAGAAGAACCTCATACGATGAAGGCAGTGGGAAGCTGTCCTGAAGCAAGAGGCCGTGTTCTTCAGTACTGAAGAATGACACGACCCAAACATCCACCTGGAAAAGAAAGTCGAGAATTGTTTTGTTTTTATGATGCAACATCCTCCTCTCGTTTTGTTTTTATTTTCCATATTCAGTTGGCAAAACCTTCTCTCCAAAATAATGACATCCATTCTCCCACACCTGCTGGAAAGAGCCGAGCCACGCACTTCCTCCCTGCAGCGAGCTGCCAAAGATTCACTCTGCGTTTCAGACTGTTCCTACTGCAAAGGGCCCTCGACCTCTGCATCTCAGGAGCTAACTGCATCAGTCACGAAAAGAGAAGCCCCAGGCTACAGGCTGATGTTCCACAGGTCTGTCAGATCCCCTCGTTTCCAGCATTTTTTAAACACAGCATTATTTCTGGTCCAATTTCAGCAGTTCACTGCTTTGGGTTCCCAGGGAATGCACCAACCATTTAAACACTGTCTGTGTAATGGCTGACTTATTCAAGTCAAAATACAAGCATTTATTTCCAACTGAAGTTTATCAGACTTCTCGTTTCTTCAACAGTAACCACAGCAAAAACTTCCGTGGAATAGGGGCCAAACATCCAGTTACACTCCTTTCACATCCTTTTCTTTTTCAACTTTACATGGAAACATTTTTGCTTCTTTACACAAGGAATATTAGGTTAAGTGTTCTTTTTTTTTGCTGGAAGACCCTAGCAAGCTATTTTGAGCCATCCCTATTCCACTCTTCATAATATCACTTTCTATGTTGACCTTCCCAGAATCTTTTTTACAGACAGTTCAGCCATCAGAAGAAACAAAGCTTTCCATCTCTAAATGGAAAAGAATTGACTAAAACTATGCACAAATCAGAACACTAATTGAACATGGACTTTTTAAATTAAAGGAATATTTAGGAAGACACTTCTACAGACAAATTTTTAAGGGCTACTGCAAGCATGTCAGCAGGTTAAGCAGGGAATGGTTGCTGAACTGATGAAAGCTCTTTGCTTACACTGTTTCTGATCTATAAAAACTTTCAATTTTTCTACAAGATGATGCACACAACTACTTCTGCAGGTTAAAAAAACACCAATGATTTACTGCTTGGTAGGGAAAACATCACGTAGAGCAAGGAGAAACAAAACCAACCATACCGTGCTCTCAGTCTGACTGTTCTTCTGACCTGGGCGCCGTGCACCTGTTTCAGGAGCTGTTTCACATACAAAAAGTCTCGGTTCACTGCAGTCCCAGAAATGGCAAACAGGGATGTGATTGTGCAGCTCTGGATACTCCACAACAGACCTATCAAAAACGAGACACACAGAATCATAGAGTCACTGAGGTTGGAAAAGCCCTCCAAGATCACAGAATCACAGAATTGTAGGGGTTGGAAGGGATCTCCAGAGATCATCGAGTCCAGCCCTCCTGCCAAAGCAGGTTCATCCAACGTAGATCATTCTCTGATGAGTTTACTAGTTTTGATTTCAGGATGCTCTAAAATGAAGCACTGATAAATGAATCACTCACACAGACTCTGCTACTCACGAGTCAGTGAAGCTGTAATACCAGCTTGTAGTGGCCTCTTATGGGCTGCACAAGACACTGCACTTGAAAACAACTTTCATTACTCACATTTGCCTAACTGACAGGATTTGCAATGGGTTGTTCATTCTACTTTGCAGCACTGAAAACCACACCATAATTTGGTTTGCCCATAACTCCTAGTTGTTGAAAAGGACTAAATCACCTTCTATTCTAAGGCTGTTACTTCTTAAGAAAACTTCATTAAGAAAAACCACTGTAAAAACAAATAGAAATTTCTACCCTAATGTTCCACTGTATTAGAAAGCCCAGTTGACTGCATTTGCTCTCATTGCTACAAGGATTTCCAACGTGCTGTGGTGTTTGCACACTGATAGGCAGCTCAGCTCCACCGTACCACTCTCTGTTTCTTCCTTCTCTAAAGGTTAGGGGGGGAAAATGCAGAAAAAGCTCATGTATTGACAAAAAAAAACAGGGAGATCACTCACCTATTACCACTATTGGTA